TCATGAACCAGTAATATATTAAACTTCTATATTTCTATACGCACTTTATATCTATATGCATGTGCATACTAAAGATCTATACTGATTTGTGTACAGAAGATTTACGAGGATGTGTGTAGACATACGAAGCATCTATATTTAATTTCTATAATACTCTTCTATATTGGTGTGTGATTTAAACGTCTATGTTGATATTTATAATAATCATTTATAAATATGTGTGATTTAAACGTCTATGTTGATATTTATAATAATCATTTATAAATATGTGTGATTTAAACGTCTATGTTGATATTTATAATAATCATTTATAAATATGTGTGATTTAAACGTCTATGTTGATATTTATAATAATCATTTATAAAGATGTCTATATCGATAATCAATAATGAATGCCTGAATAAAACGGACTGGGGGTAAAGACGGTTATGATTCGATCACACTATATCTTGCCGGTTTGACCTAAACAGATAAACTCTACTTCGTCTGGCCCCAAATTGCTGTAAAAATCTGAAATCGTACTACTTTAATTATGTTTGTATCACTAAGTATGATTATCCCTTTATTTGTGTTTAGACTACTTTATAAATAAACTTATAAATCCTCTCTAACATTTTACACCAGTTTTAAACTTAATACAACTTGTATCTTTTTTATTTATTTATTTATAACGCTATGTAAGCTCTTGTAAATATAAAATCTTTCCAAATATTTCTCGATTCGTTTTTTTTTCATAAAAACTTAAATCGTTTATAAAAAAAAAACTTCAGAAACGGGAAAAAAAGCACCAATCTTTAATGTTGATTTTTCACTTTTTTTTTTGCTTTAAAAATATAAAGTATCAAGTTGCTTTATTTAAATGTAGTACCACCACCCCTTCTCCAAGTACTTTTTTTTTATTACTTTACCTGCTCGTCTATCTCTTATCTTTTGAAATCTCCCCCCCCCTCCCACCCCGACCCCCAAGAGCAGACCCGCGTTAGATCTCGTCGGCCGACTGTGTACAATGTCTGGTTTGAAGATTTCCTCACATAATCGATTCCCTCTTACAGAATCGATCCCCTCTTAATCTCTTCATAAACTCGGAGAAACACTTGATCATGAATCATTCTTTACAATCGATTCCCCTGAAAATGTAGCCAGTAATCATGCGCATTCCGACATGTATCGATTCCTACAGTTTGTTTTTAATCCCACAACCTCTACCATTTCGTAGCCCTCCCCCCTCCTGCCATAACGTTGTTTAACAAAACAAATTGTACAGTACTTCCAACGATGTATTACTGCAAACATGTCATTGTTTCTATGTAAGTAATTTTAAGTAAAGTTCTTTATATCACAATTATACGTGTTTCACATTCTTCTCTGTTCGTGTAAAATTCGGCAAAAATTCATTATTTTCCCAACGGTGATATTTTTATTGTTTTAAATTGCTTTTAAGATCGATTTAATACGGGTTATTACGGTTGTTTAAGGTAGTATGAAAGACGTCCATATCTTAACCAGTGTTAATGGTCTATAATGCAGGTGAAGTAGAGTTGAGGGTGAGGTTGTAAGAGGTATGAATAAGTGGAAAACCAGCATTATGATTAAGGGGGTTGCATGGCTATTTAACATGCTAGGTACTCCTTAACTCCTGAGTTTATGTGATGAGCAGCGCTCGCTGGATCGGAAGATAAATTGGAAAGCTTCGGGTTAAAAATCTTGGGGTCGAATCTAAATGGAACGGAAGTCCATCTCCCAGAAGATAAGGGGGGGTATATTTTTTTAGAACTATCACAGCATCGGTAGACACAGAGCTACGGGTCCAGTAACTCCTTTATTCTTTTTTGTCAAACCATGTCTGGTGTAGACAGAGACCTTAGGACTTACCTCCCTTCATACCACTGTATGTGCAATACGTTGTTTGTATAATCCATGTATTTCCCTCGACGATTATCGTTAGCTGGTGGTCCAATTAATCGCGTGGCAATGACCCAATGACTCACTCGTAATTAACATGAGATTATCTAGTCACATATTGCACATTGCGTTACTGGTATATATGTGTTAATAAATCAATAGGATATATTTATATATATATATATATATATATATATATATATATATATATATATATATATATATATATATATATATATATATATATATATATATATATATATTAATTATCTGATTTTCGAGATGGAATGTGCGGGTACTCCATAAATGTACACTCTCTAATACACGGGTTCCCAGCCTAGGGGTCGCGACCCCCCTGGGGGTCGCGAAGGTCTTTCTGGGGGTTCGCCAACTGGTATACTAAACCTTAGTAATTTGAAACAAAACATAAATATGTAGAAGAATTTTTGAAATTCGGCTTATTTAACATCACTGGAAATGTAATAGAGAAGAAACAAAGCGCACTGTACAAAGTTGTTCTCAGTCACGAATCTATGAAATCTTCAAAACTAAAACGTCATTTGAGACGAGTCATTCGGAACAAACCAAAAAATATATGGAGTTATATCGTCGGTACGAAGCTAGTTGCAAACGCCAGAGACTTGATCGAACAGGAAGTTTTCATCAGCATTAGTGCAAGCATCAAATAAAGTCGCGATAGAAAATGCCAAGCAAAAAAAAAAAAAAAAAAACAATAGAAGAAAATCTCATCAAACGATGCATGTACTTAAATGTTAAATAACACATTTTTATTGAAATTAAGCTTTCACCATTGTTTGCTTTTCAAGTTGATAAATCAACAGACGTGAGTTCGTGTTCGCAGTTGCTGGTCTGTGTCTATATTCATGGGGATGATAGCAAAGAAGAGTTGCTCTTTTGTGAAGATAGCATGGAGAAAATAAATACCTTTTTTTAAACTGGATGATGAAAATGGGTTAGAACGGCTGTGGGGGTTTGTACGGATGGTGCGCCATCTATGTTTAGCTCAAAATCGGGCTTTCAGTGTAATATATTGAGAATTGTGAAGTCAAGGGAACTAACTCTTCTTGTATTAGTATTATATTTATAATGTTATTTTGAGTGATGTCCCTTGTTAATATATATATGTTATTGTCTCGTCACTTCCTGTTCCTGTTTCCATCAAGGTGGCTGAGGCTGAATAAACGTTCTATATAGAAACAGCATGGTTTCTGTCGTCAGTGTTCCAATCTATTACATTCAGAAAACAGAAAAGATTTTGCTGCCCTAACCAATCGACATCACGAGTCCATTGCTAGTATAAGTCGTAAATTATATAAAATCTGGAGCCTTCAAAGAACTGAGCAAAAACATTAATATAGATCACGAGGTTCTGCTCTTCTACACTACATTGCGCTGGCTGTCAAACGAAATGTTGTAAATTGTGTTTTTGAATTGAAATCTGAAATCAAATTGTTCTTGGAAGTGCAAAGGAAACAAGACTTTTTGTATACTTAAAAACGACATAGAGGGGTTGGAGAGAGTATCATACCTTGTAGATGTTCGAACATCAAGATAAGCTTAAACCTGAAGCTTCAGGGAAAATGAATGAATATTATAACTTTCCATGATAATCTCGGGGCATTTTTATCAAAGCTGCAAAATCGGTAAAGAAAATAAATCTTGGAAATATTGTAAACTTGAGAAACTCTGCGGTGTGGTAGATGAATCTGATTGTGAGATAACTAAAATTTTGAAAGAAGCGATTTCTTAACATCTTGAATCTCTTGAAAACGAACTGCATCGCTATTTCTCTGAGCTGAAAAAAAGAAGAATCTGCATTTACGCATTACCCATTCTCTTCTTCCCTTGATGATGCCAGCGTTCCCGATGAATTACAAGATGCATTCTTTGATTTGCAGAATGATTTCGAGTAAGATGAAAAACTGCAGACACAATTTTGGTGTAGTATTCACCATTCATACCCAAACGTAAAATTGATTGACTTTTCGAGAATATATTTTCAACTCCATTCTTCGATTAAAAACAAAATTAAGATAATTATAATGACATAGGTTGGCGTTAACAATTTTTTTTTAATTAAAAACTCAATCACGAAGGTTTAGTTAATAGTATGCAATTTTACTCATGCTATTAAAACAGTTATCAAGAGTAGTTCATATTGAAAGTCTACTAGAAAATCTTATTTTAGTGCTTATTAATTTCCATACTAAATTCGGCTTTTTAATTCTATGGGGGTCGCGGGTCACTTACTTTTTATAAAAAGGGGTCGCCACTCGAAAAAGGTTGGGAACCACTGCTCTAATACCTTCTAAATTCAAATCGGTTTTGAACTATATAGATCTTATAAATATATATATTTGTATTTCCCCTCAAATTTGGTTATGTCTTAAAGTAAGAGGTCGAGAGGTGATCAGAAACTCCATTTTGTCCAGGAGTCAGGATGGAGACTTATACAAAGTGTGCACAAGACGGCCTAAAAACTCATTCATCTTTTTCACCAGTATTGTTTTAAGTAGTCTACAGTTGTCTAATTAATTACAGATTTTTGCCTTATCTGTAACTTTTAATTGTTGTAAATATAGAGCAAGTTAAATTCAATCACATGATTTGTATTCGTATACTGCAAATAAATTCCTATTATATATGCAAAGTCCCGTTTTCGAAAATGATGATCCATATGGTAGATGAAGTAGAGTCCATCAGTTAATTGACATTGGTATTGGAAGGGACGGTGTGGTCAGCACTTCCTTAACACGAGTCAGGTACACGGAAGAGGAAGGCGGACTCAAGAACGTCCGACAGTTTTAAACACGCGATTCGAACTGAAAACATTCGTGCTAGGAGTCAAGTGCGCTACTTAACGACCACACCGTCCCTCGCTTAATTTTTTTTTTAATGTAAGGGTAAATTTTCTTTTGTAAGAAAGTGTAACTTGTCTTAGTTAATATGTAACCTATTTTCTTATGGAAATTAATAATCTGGTCAAAGTTTTTTAAAAGAAATTTCTAACATTACTTAACATATTTGCAAACGAAGATAATATTTTGAGTAACACAACTTTGTATATCTTTTTTCAGCCATCATTTAAAGGATTCTACGTCGGCGTGTGACGTCATGATATCCACGAGTGACCGCCCATATAGATTGTTCAGAGGATAATATTCGAGATAGGTAAGATTTATACTGGCGTAGAATTTTGTGTTTTGTCTAGTCGGATCTGCACTGTTGAGTCTGATTCTTAGTACTCCCACTACCTCTTACCGTTCACACTTACTCTGCTTCCTATTTTAGGCAATTAAAAAAAAAACTTAAATAACAAGACAAATAAAAATCAGGATACTAAAAAAAGGAAAAAATAAGCCAATCAAAACACAACATTAAAGTGGAACACTCAAAAACATGATTTTTAAAAAAATAATTATCATTTTTAAAGTTTATTCTGGTAATTTTTACATCAACTTAAACGAAATACATCGATACGTCGCTCATTTTGTGAGATAACTGTGAAAGGAAAAAAATCCCATTACAATTTTGACATAAAATGACTAGTAGCTAAATTGTTGATACATCTCATGCGATATTTGTGTAGAGAACAAACAAAAACAAACTAAAAAATTAATCAAACAAAACGGTTACAGATTTTGTAAGAATCGAGAATTTGGGGAGCAAGAATTCAGACCCTATTCCCCCCAAAGTGGGTTATCAGGGGTTCAAGCATACAAAGGCTTATGTACATTACTTCATTCAAACTGTGTATACAAATTAATTTTTAATGCATTAGGATATTGATACAGACCTAGTTAATATTTGCTTTTATTTTTCGTTTTTATATGCCTCGGACAGGTAATATTGGTATTATTCTTCTCCCGAAGTTTTCCGTTATCTCATAATAGTGCTCATTATTCAACAAATGAAAACTGTTGTAGATTTACATTGATATCTATGTCTTTCACTCTCATACCGTTTTGTACATGTTATACAGGATTTTGGCGAGGCTTGAGGTCCATTTCAATAAAAAGAGGATAAAATGTTGGAGAGGGGATAATTATAATTACTTATTGTTTGGCCTTGACATTTAATTTACAGCGTCAATTTGCCTTGCCATGTTCGCTTTAGTGTTACAATTTTAACCATCGGTTTGTGAGGACTGATGCAAATGAATAATATTAATGCTTCTTTCTGACATGTACTTTCATTCATTTAAGATGGTTTACTTAAACCTAATACAAAACGTCGTGTTACAATTATATTTTTAAACAAGAAATTTTGTAATTAAATTGTCCCGTCCCCCCCCCCCCCCCCCCGTCCCCCATCTTTTATATTTTCTATTCGGTGGGGTGGGTTGATGGGCTATAGGCTTTTCAATGCAGCTGAAATCACTTAGGGATTAAAGAGAACTAATATTGATAAATTTAAACAGAAATTGAGACGAACTGGAAGAGTATTTACTAAACTTATTTTTTTTTTTAGTTTAATATTGTTCCTCTCTTGCTGCTTCCCCAATCGAGCAAGGATATTCAGCAAGAGCAGGTTTACATGAGCATACATTACATTTATACATGTCTATACAAATGTTGTTATTATTATGTTTTCCCATTATACAAAACGTCTAATATGCGGTTAAATAAACATTTAATCCAGCGTTAAGTCCCTCTCTCTCCTCTTCTATACGTTTTTATGATTTTTAAAAATCTTTTTTTTTTTTGGGACATTTTTTTTTTTTTTTTCTTTTTTTTTCTTTTTTTTTTTTTTTCTTTTTTTTTTTTTTATTTTGGGACATGAGTTACAGAAAGTAGACAACTTACTATATACTGAATAAAATTTTCACGTGTAAAGCTCAATAATGAAATAAATCATGTAATTATTCATTGTTAGTGCAATGGGTATGTGTTTATGTATATGTTTATTGCTATTTTAAAACTAAATTTAAAAAACGCTAGCTGTTATGCCATAAGCACATTTGCTTTTGTATTGTTTCTTATCTGCCACCCTTTAGAAATAACAAAATACTAAAACTGAAATCAATCAACTTTGTAAAATGTCATTACAAGAGTTTACTGGCTTCCTTCCCTTGATTTTGCACTCTCTTGAGTCATGTCCCTTTAAAGTTTATTGTATGGTCTCAATTTGTTTTAATTTGTCCTTTACACTTTCTCCTCCCGTTTTCTCCCTCCCCCCTCATCTTAACACCACCAATTCTCTTTTCTCTTGCATTTTGCATTGCATACACTAAAAAACAGGATGCTAAAATTAACACTCGCAATGGTATACAATTGGAAAAAAAGGTTATACGTTTTTCGCCCTTTTAAAAACTGACATCTTCAAAAGTAGTTATCCCTTTGTTCCCGTGATTGAGAAGAATTTGGCTAGAAAATACAATGTGATTGGCAAAATTTAAAGCTGAGAATTCGGTACTTCAGGTTTTTAAAAGACGACTTACACGGGGCACGGGGCATAGGATTTTTCTTTTGTAGTCTGTCGGTGTGTGTGTGTGGGGGGGGGGGGGAGGTGTATGATGGTGTGTACGTGTTTGTGGCGAGGGCGTTGGGTGTTGTTATATGGTGTGTAACTGGGGTTTTTAAATGACATTCGACGTGCGTTGCATAGACAAAGAGATTTGTACACTTCCACACCAACGTACACACACACACACACACACACACACACATATATATATATATATATATATATATATATATATATATATATATATATATATATATATATATATATATATATATATATATATATATATATATATATATATATATATATATATATATATATATATATATATATATATATATATATATATATATATATATATATATATATAGAGTGTGTAACTAAAATTGTAAGGAAAGATTTATTTTAACAGTGAAAATATTATTGCATGTTTTAAAAAGCTTCTAGCACACACCACTTTATGTAGACTAGAACTAGACTACGTAACTAGCTTTCCACCACCCTCCTCTCCCCACTACAAAAATAATATCCCTTCCCTATTGTTTAATCGAACACATAAAACCCCTATCCCCCCAACCAACAACCACACACATACACACAAACACACACGCACACACACACGCACACACACACACACCTCAAGGTGCGATCACACCTCGTCCTCACGATTTCAACCTCACACGGGATCAAGAAAATAAAACTCGGGCTTTATGGTTCAAGGTCACGAGGAACGATAACTGTCAAAGGCTGATTGTATCGTGGATTTATCGCCCTTTATTTCAATACCTGTGCATGCAACTCTCTTCTTATGACTGTATGTAGGGTACATAAGTATACTTTTAATAGCGCAGCAAGACTAGCTTCAAAACATTATGTAGCTGTAAGAATAAATATATTGTATTACAGTATACAGAGACGGTGTTAATATATTTCTTTCAGCTGGTAGGCTGTGAAATGTAGGGCCTATGTATGTGAGGGGAGGAAAATGAATTAAGATTAAAGTATAACAGATTGTAAACCCTACCCCCTCCCACCTTCTCCACCCCCATTGTGTTTACTTAAATTTTTTTTAAAGTGGAGTTGGAACTCAAACGGGCACGTATATAGTAAAACTTTAATTATTATTCGTTTTTAATCTGAACAGATATGTATTGATTTTCATAAAGCTGTGAAATGTTTGAAAAATTGGGTTAATCGATAAAACAACAGATGGGGGATGGTGGGTTCAAGTAAGATTTAAAACAGCAGGCACGATGGATGTTTTATAGGCATCTACGTGTGTATAATCGGTTTTAAGGTTACGTTTTGTGTTGTGTTTGTGACAGTTAAATCACCGTGACAGTTAAAGTATATCGCATTGGCTTATGTTTGTGACAGTTAAAGTATATCGTATTGACTTATGTTTGTGACAGTTACAGTATACCTTATTTAGGTGTGTGTGTGACAGCCAGTCTATAATTTATTTACTGTTAAATCATACAGCATTTTGGTGTTTTTGTGACAGTTAAATGAAACCTCATTTGGTTGTGTTTGTGACAGCTATTCTATGATTCACGTACGTGTGTCCGTGACATTAAAATTATACCGCATTTGCTTTTATTTGTGACAGTTAAACTATACCTTATATACTTGAATTTGTGACAGTTAAACTATACATTATATACTTCAGTTTGTGTGTGACAGTTAAACTATACCTTATATACTTGAGTTTGTGACAGTTAAACTATACATCATTTAATTTTGTGTGTGACGCAAGGGAGAGCTAATACCTAGTAGAATATACATGATAGGCAACGAAGAGCCATCCCATTACAACACAATTTTGAAAAAAAAAATACAATGCAATAGTAAACAGATATGTAGCATAACAGATGACAACGGGACAATAACAAATGACCTGGACAGTCACAGTCTGTGACTGTTACATTACACAGCATTTTGTTATGTTTTTGACGACCGAAGTAGGCCTATACCTTATTTTGGAACATTTGTGACATCTCAGCTTTACTTTATTTACGAGTTTAATGTTTGTGACAGTACAATATCCCCCCCCCCACACACACACACACTTCGATTTAGAAGCTCTAGTGACAGCTTAAGTGATCCACATTTAGATGTGTGTGAGAGCTAAGACAATACCCCCCCCCACCCACCACTTTGATTTAGAAGCTCTTGTGACAGCTTAAGTGATCCACATTTAGATGTGTGTGAGAGCTAAGACAATACCCCCCCCCACCCACCACTTTGATTTAGAAGCTCTTGTGACAGCTTAAGTGATCCACATTTAGATGTGTGTGAGAGCTAAGACAATACCCCCACCCTCCCAGTTAGTAGCACGCGTTACAGTTAAACAATACACTACTTAGTTATATTTGTTTCAGCTGAGTTAGTTCCCTTTTAGCTGTGTTACTGACACTGTTTCTCAATAAAAATTAGCGCATTAACATAAACCAATGTATCGATATGACTTTTTTCTGGTTCAGTTGCTGTTGATGTGTATATTAAATATCATTAATTAGTACTAATAATGCCTAATTATGGGACGGCGTGGCCTAGCGGTAGAGAGCTAGGTTGCTAGCCCAAAATTCTCGAGATCGAATTCGGGTTCAAGTCAGTAGAATGTCCCTGAGTCCACCCAGCTCTAATGGGTACCCGACTCACGTTAGGGAAAACAAAGGCGGCTGGGCATAATGCTGACAACACTA